TTTTTTTTTCATCCAACTTACAATGCTGCCAAACCTTCCCATATGTTACAGGACTCTAAATGGGTCGCAAAAAAATCAAGACTCCTGCTACAGAGTTTAGGTTGAAGGGCACATAGTTTGGAATGAGGCCCCGCAAAGGGTCTGAAATAGATTCCACATGAGCACAAAAAGCAAGCACCTACCCCAGGCTCCTCTGTTAGGTACAAGCTGCAAGGTAAACATCAAAACACTAAGTGGGTAGGAAAAGGAAGAAGAGACAGCAAGAGGGAAAACTAGGATCAACGTACTGAAAGTATGTCACCGAAACTAATGTCACGACAGGAGAGGCAAAACGTCCTTATCCCTCCTCCTCTTCTCCTTCTCAGTATTGAGGGGACTATTGTCGTACCAAAGATAAGCCAACATCCCATTGCATGCTGAGCCTTCTACAAGAAAGAAGGTGCTGGGGAAGCGGGTTGGGAACTTGGTGAGGGCAGTAGCAGGGCAGCAGGACAGTCACCAGAGCACAGGCAGGCAGCGGCAGCCCCTTCTCTCGCATCAAAAGGGATTGCGGTCCTCGCACCCTAACTCACCTCTGTCCGGGAGCCTGAGCGGGAGGGACGCGCCGCGCCGGACCGGACCGGGCTGCCTCGCCGTGCCCCAGGGCTCCGCGCGGTTCGGGGCCGGAGCCCCCCGCGCCCCCCCGCCGCGCCGAGATGCAGCTCCTCTGCGCGGGCAACAGCGCCCCCTTGCGCAGGAGCCGCGCACAGCCCGCCCGCTCCCCAGAGGAGGCTGCCGGACTGAATGCGGGCTTGCGGTTAACCTTACAGGGACCAGGAAATACATCCCGGGCTTTGTTACCACTCTCACACCTTTCTGCGGCAGGACAGACAGGTAGGCATAGATTTGTCACGGTGGAGAAGGAAAGAGGGGCTTTGCATATTTACATCTTTCCAACCTACAGTCCCCTTAGGTTTAGGTACACTGAGACTCAAATCTGGGATCTCAGTTCACAATATGGACATGAGTCTATTCCTCGCATCCCAGGTAAGCAACGTGAATCCTGAGCCCTTGGGTATACTGAGTACTTGAGTATTAAGAACACACACATTCCTCCTCAGTTTTGATGAAAACACAAAGTACTTTTCCTAACAGAACTAAAACATTTTCTGAATCAAAATATTTTCATACCTACACCGCTCCTCCCCACTCAAGCTCCACTGAAAACCTCCCCAGCCAGCACAGAAAGGAAGCTTAATTATGGGTCTTTTTAATGAATTCTTAACAATGGCTGTGGACGGAAAGCTGCCAGCAAAGTAAATAGTTAATTCTCAAGCTTTCCATTATCAGGATCAGCTTTATAAACAATAACCATCAGGAGAAGATTCCAAAAGTCTTTCATTCAGAATCCATAACTCCATAGTGAAAAACTGATTCACAACCTCGACCACTGCACATGTGCATCATTTCTGGAGGAGTCAGAATGCAATACAGACATTTTTCAGGCCAGCATCCTTAGAAAATAAGACTTAGGCAATCATGTTCCAGGTCTATCCAATTGATACTGCCCATCCAGCCTTGGTAATCTTTCATTTAATTGATGATTTCAGTGATTTTGTTCATAGAAACTTATTTGAAAACAGGCTATTGCAGAAGAGAGGCCATTATTAGCATGCTCATGATGGGCAATGCTGCAGCCTGACTTTGAGTTTTGTAAGACCTCAAAGAGACATTATAAGTACTTTAACAATAGGAAAATCTTCCACTGAGACCCATATTTTGTTATATACCAGAAAACCCATCCAGCCATCTCTCATACCTTAAAGATTAAAGCTATTTGTAACTTTTCATACTATTCATGTTTTGGTTTTTGGTTTTTTTTTAATGCCATATTCATCATAAAGAGTAATTTATGGAAAACTGGTTTATTTTGTTCCCAAGCTGGCAACACTGTTCCTCTTACAGGGCTCAAGGAAGCAGGAGCTTTTTTGTCATCTCTTCCTGTTCTGAGGCACTTCAAGGCTGTTTGAGTTGAGGTGTAAACTTTCATCAGTGTTACCACTATCTGCAGAATTACTGAACAGTATAAAGATGCTCTGCATTGAGCTAGTACATCATTCAGTACATAGCACCAACAAACATACATGCACTCTAGCATCCTTAGGCCTTCTGCACAAAATGAATGGTGTGAATATATTTGCAGATGACCACCAAAAAGAAACATTTTCCAAGTTCCAAGCTCACGTGGACAAACCAATGTTATGTCTGTGTAATCCTTGTATGCCCAGTTGTGTTGTACATCTCTAAGCCAAAGCCCTGGATCACACACTCACTTCAGATGTACACAGGACTTTGAGCCTGGCAATCCATCAGCTGAATGGGGACTACTGTCTTCTGGCTTTCCGGCATAGTTTGATCACATCACTAAATGCTGAGACCAAGTCAGCAGAAGGGGTCTGAGGCCCTCTGTTATGCCAGTGCACTTTTTATTATTCAAAGCTGACATTCAGCCAACATTCAACATCATATATATACACCTGTAACACAAAGATTATAGACCACGCACTAAGCATGTAAGATCTGCTCTGAAAGATGCACCATTCGTTGCAGCTCATTCTTATTACACCAAGATTCTCTCCTCCAAAAAGATGTTTGAGGTGTCTTATTTTGCACGCTTCTTTTCACTGACACCTCTCCAAGTTTGTGTCACACAGTGCTTGTAATGTTAGCACGCCAGGGAAGCACAACAGCTGACCATTCCCATAGCCACCCCTGCTCCAGCAAAACTCCACAAGTGGCTTTTGTGAAAAGTTTCCACTATTCTGGCTGTATTTCCAGGCTTACAAGGAGCTCACCTGCATGCAATGCCGACAACACATAGAATTTAACACACCTGCTTTTCTGACTGCACATCTGCTGTATACAGACCGTACAGCCTGAACGTATTTATGATGCAAGATGACAAAAGTCAAAAGCTGGGTCAAGCGTACCACAGCAGAGATTAGCTCCCTGCTTTACTATGTGGTTAAATGCTATTTATGAAATTACCAGTCTGTTAAGCAATCCAGTTACCCAAAGTTTAAGAATGGGATACAAGATGCTTTCCACCATGTCAGTGGTTTGAAAGGTTAGAAAATGTCTCTGCATTGTGAGCAGCTATTTACAATTGGTACCTTACTTAAATGTCTCAGAGAAGTCCCCCCAGAACAACATTAAAGTCCTTTTAGGCTTAGTAAAAGCCTCTTTCAGGACCCAAGTAAAATGCAAGCTTACTTGGCAATTTTAATTATTTTATTGTACTTGTTCTATGGCTGAATAGTTGTGAAAAACAGACAACTTTCTGGATTCTGTCCCAAAGATTCACGTGCATTCATGAAACAAGAAGTGAAACACAACACATCACTCTGAATTCCAAGCAGCTCTCTTATTTATTGAAATATTTCAAGCTTAACAAACATGATGCACACGGCTCTGGCTGTATCACATTCCCTCACAACCACTAAGTCAGCCGCTTTGGATTCCAACAGAAACTTCCTTTCAGCACAGCAAGGTGGAGCAAATACAGCTGCTACAAATATAAAGCAAACTTGGAGGCCCTGATAGGAATCACAACTGAAATAGCATGAACCACCTTTTCCTTAAATAAAGCCTGAGGATTCCCTGAGTCTGAATTAGGAATTACAAAGGAACAAGAAAACCTCCCCCCCCCAAAAAAAAAAAACAACCAAACAACAACAAACCAAACCCAAACCAACCAACCTAATTTTTGGCTTATGCATATTTTTGCTCTTTAAAAAAAAAAAATAAATGTTTGCCTCAGTCTAAACTACACTGTTTTCTATGCCATGTTGAAAAGGGGTTTTATTCTGTTGGGATTACTGACAGAAATCTGTGTTGAATCCAAGCATGGCACAGAGACGATCTGGACTGAGGCAACTGACTCTGGAGGTTGTTTGGATATCTACATTTGGCATTGAACTATTGTGTAATTCAGAGGAGCCAAAGTCTTCTGCATAATCAATGAAAAGAGCAAGGCACCTATACCACAGAGAATCACAGCTCCAAAGTCAGACCCCTAAAGCAGATGCTATTCCTTTCCCCCATTAAATGGGGACTTAGTCACCCATTGAGGTGGAAACTCAAACAAATGGAGACTGCCATTAATACTGCTAGGCTTCACCAGGATGTTGTCTGGTTCCTGAACACATAAGCAGCCAAGAAGTAAACATACCTTCAAAGCAGCAGATAGTAAAGGGAAAAGTCCATGCAAATTAAGTCACTCAAGCTATAAAATGAATGCTTTGGCTCTTCCCTAGTCAGTAGTATACTGAGGAACTTGTTTTTTTTAGTGGTCAGTGCAAAGAAAACAAAACACAAGTATGTTACATCATTGTCCTTGAAAGCCATAACCTATTGACAAAGCTATCTGAAAGTGGTACTACTTTCAGCTACTTCTCTTTTTACTTGCCCTTGCAGATTCCTGCAATGGTCCTTATCCATAGCTAGTATGCGAAATATGAAAGGCATCAGCATTAAATCAAGAAAAACGCAGCAGTTAATCACTACCAAAGGAGTAGATTTCAACTGACAGTGATGATCTTCTCTGGTTTCATGACAGTTCTTCTGGGCAATGCTGAAAGTCATCTAATGTATCTAGGTTGTATGTGATGGCTCAGATAATGAAGTCATTAAGTGCTTTTTAAAGGACCAGCACCAAATGGGTCACTGCAGTACAAGGAGTATTTCTGAAAGGTATTCAGAAACAGCAATGTACTGAGAAATGGCAGTGTCTTTTATGGACAGTAAAGTACTTATTGCTTTAACTGTCAAGCACCTGAGGTGCTGGGTGACCTAACTTGTCTTTCAGACATGTCACTAAATTTATATGCACATGACATACTCCTTTTGTGCAAAGCCACACTGCTGTTTTTCGAGTACCATACCAGTGTGTGCAAAATCAGCAGGGTACAGTGAGCATTTATGCAGGAGAGAGAAGTAACATTGATAAAAAGCAAACCAAATATGAATCTAATTCAGTGGTCATTGCTGGCATTTTAAAAATGCATCATAAATAAACAATGTAGCATTACTGCCAGAAAAGCATATGTTCCAAAAAGATGAATTTCTGGTGAGCTTTGACTGGTGAGCTATGACTTTGAAATACCATATTAGTTTAGACATACTTCCTAATCATGTTAATTATTTCATTATACATGCGGTAAGGTGCATCAAGGCCCCAGATGAAATCCAAATGTTCCCATTCTGGAATGTTTTTGTGGTAAACCAAGTTTGTGATTTGAGTGAGCAGCATAGCAACATCCTTTGGGTCTGCCAGCCAGTCATGTCCACCAGTCCACACTGCAGTTGGTACAGTCATCTCTTTTATTTTGTAGAAAGGGGGAGTAGACTGAGAGAAGGAAAGCAAAACCAAAAGCATTAGACAAAAAAACCCTCCACTGTGATACTACATTGCAGTGTAGCATACTAGCAAATTCAAGAAGAATGTCTCAGATTCTCATTTTCTCTTCCTCTCTTGGGCAGCTAGAGATGGAGTCCAGACTCAAGAGAAAACATAACTCTCAAGAGTCCTGCCACATTACAGCACACATAGCAGTAAAGATGTGCTTTGAGGAGCTTACAAATGAGTAGGGTAGCAGAAGTCTCAGATGCATCCCACTCAAGTTATTTCTGAAGCCTAATCAAGCACTAAAAGTGACTGGTACTCTGCAAGTATCATACTGCAATATTACTTATCACTAATTTGACAAGGGGCAAAATATTTTCAGTATTGCACACAGCAATTTGAAAAATACATGGAGATTAAACAGGCTGGAGACAAGCAATACATGTGTGAGTGTGTGTGTGAATGTTAATAGGCAAGTCTTCAGTCTGCTTACTGGGTGGCTCTTTAGCATGCAGCATAAACACAGCACCCAGAGAAGTGCCCAAGGAGTGGTTTTGTTTTTTTTTTTTTTTTTGTGACACTAAAGAATCATATCCATAAAAGATGCCTACCTGGTTGTAGTGAGCTGTATTTGCAGCCTTGCTTCCCCAGTCATAAGCTTTGAGTTCCCCAGTCTTCACAGCCTAGAAATAAACAAATATTCACACATACAAAGAAAAACTGCAATACTTCTATCTCAGAAATAAAAAAAGTGTAGGTAATCTGGATAATTGGCAGAGAAAACTGACACAAGAAACAGTGAAATGCCAAATATTAAGAAGGACAAGTGTCAACTGCTTTGCCCAGTGTCACGAGAGTGGGAAACACTGACATTCACCAGTGTTAGACTTTGTCCTTTAAGATTTTACACTCTTTCATAGCAACAGTAGGAAAGATTAAGGAAAATGCTTCAGTGTATCCAAAGTCAGGATGTGGCAGCTCCATGCCTACTTTTGAAATATTTACCTTGCTGTCTGAAGGTATATGAACACAGCATGAAGCTCTCTTAGAAATCTACTCTGAATGATTTATCTACTATTTTTCAGAAACAGAAGTCTAAATAACAGGGATTTGGGGGGGGAGGAAAAGGGGTAAAAGATCTTCACAAATTTCTTTCTGAGCCAACACTTGAAGAGCTACAAGATCACAAGCAACTCTGACCACAGCTTCCATGGCAAATGCCTTCCCTTTCTTGTCAGCCTGCAAAGCAAGCTTAAGGCACAATAATGTTAGAGACATAAAGTTGTGCACCGAGGTGAAATTCAAAATATACTAATAAAACATAAAATGAAGCCAAAGAGAATAGAACACCTGATCCTTTTCACTGGCTAAATATATAACTTTTAATCAAACCAGGGTTTGATGAAAGGGGAGCAAATACTTGTTACAGCATCCCTCTGAATTTAGCTTTTCCATTGTCTTGTTTGTTGGCATGATGTACTTATAGTTGGCCTGATGTATTTACAGTCAGCATGTCTCCAGAGAAATAAATGAAAGGGGTGAGCCACCTTAAGTCAGTATCATCAGTGAACAGCTGCCACTCTGAAAATCGGTAGTTCCAAAATTTCACTCAGCCTATGCTGCATATATATTTTTTCATTTTATTCAGTTTAAATATCAGATACATCAATATCCTACAAGCAAGACAGCCATAGACATTTTAGAGTCTGGAAACTCTACCTGGCTCCAGTGGATCATGTTTTGTACAGATGTCCCTGCAGGACAGTGTGCTGAATACACATCCACTCGACTCTGCAACAAGATAATTAACATGGTTTACTCCTCATAGTGCAGCACTTCTACCCATTATTGCTTCTTGAACAATACAAAATTTTCCAGTCCTCTTAAAACTGTTATAAACAAAAGTTAACTGGAACCATACCTATGGATGAGGTAAAAGGTTCAAATGTCTGGGGAATAATTACAATTAACTAAAGAACTTTAAATCCAATAATGATATCCCTTAAACATCTTCCATATATTAAGAATATTTTTAAAATGCTAGTGTTGTAAGAATTGGGAGCACATTAACTAATATTTAGATGGACCTCTAGAGAAACCTTCTGTTACTCTACATTTAAACTAGTAACTGTCAGTCCAAAGTGATTCAGAACCTCTTACACTTTGAGTTTAGATGTACAAAATACCCAGGGGAAGCTTAAATCCTGGCAGAAAAAAAATACTATCCACTATTAAAACCATTAAAACTGCATGTGCTGGGCAAGAAAACATCCAAAAAATGCACTTTTACTTTGATATAAATAAACCCAACCAAATAAACAGAAAATCACCTCTGGGTAAACTGATACCACCTTCTACCCATTTCAGGGAGTTAGAAACACTTTAAGAAGCATTGTGAAGAAAGGTGGTCTCATACTGATTTCTGTTAATTGGCTTTTAGACAATAAAACAAGTCCTATGAACAAGCCCTCTGGAACTCGGACCATAGATGAAGCCATCAGCAGGGTCAGAAACTGGTCCCAGAGAAAATAATTGCACATGTCCACCAAAAGAACAGAAAACTCTAACAGTTCTCTGAAAATAGTTGAAAACTAGATCTTTTTTCCTCACTTCATTGCAGAAGGAATTAAATACTTGCGCCATCATACTAATTAATTTCTTTTACCCACTTCCCCAGCAGATCAAAAATAATGTATTTTAGCTTTCCAGTAACATTTTAAAAGGTTAATTCTATCCATCATAACTGTACAACTAATCTATACCAAGAAAAGATATTAATCCAAACTCAGTATGATGAAGACGGCATTAGGGGTTTTCTAATTACATGTAAAGGACAATCAGTACAGTGATACACAGTTAATACTATGTTAAAGTTCGCAAGAACTTTGCTATTAAAAGTCACTAGAACACACCATATTCAAGTTTCTCTCATTAAAACCACATAGAAGAAAGAACAGGTTGCCACAAAGGTCATCAAGTATTCTGTGAGTGCAAACATGGGTAGCAAGCCACTTCAACAAAAAATTCTGAGGGAGGAATTGCTTCTTTCCAAACATGTCCTACAAAATAACAACATAGAACAAACATGTAATTGCACAGAATGGCTTGGGTTTAGTTTTCATACCACAACATTCTTGAGGTAATTATTTCCATTTGCCTTGGTGACAGGTGTGTCATGAAAATTATTTATCCCCTTATCAACCTTATTTACAGCCCAATCCAGAAGGTCACGGTTAGTGCTTCTGCTCCAAATGATACAGTCCATTAAATCCCACAATAAGCACTTGGGAACTAGGACAATCTTTCAAGAATTCCAAACCTGACCTCAAATCCAAATCAATTTTAAATTCAGTATTTTACAGAATACTGTACACTGTCTTGTCATCAGAATCAAAGTATGTTAAGCTGTGTCTGCTAATGTTAATGGCTTTGTAGCTGTAACTTCCTCTCTTCAAATCATGTAAGAAAAACAAGTCGCATGAGTTGTGGTGGCCACTTCCTCTTGATGGGTATTTTTAAAACATCCAAGGATTTAAAAATGGCTCACTGAGAACTTCCTTAGAAGTGACACAGCTCTTTAAAGATAAAACTGACCCATGGGTTTCTCATTTGTCATGTACTTCTGCACTTTAGCCTTTTTGCAAGTCACCATGAGAATCAAGTTCCTCAGCACAACATGAACATCTGCAGAAGGCACTGATCAGCTACTGTTCTCATGAAACAAAGTTCATTACACAAGGAACAGGAGATTACAGCTGTTAGTATTGCTTTTAAGTGAACTGCCTTTGGAGCAGAGAACTAATAATGTAGAGAGACATGTACTTAAATCTGTACAAGGTACATTAGAGATGGGCGTATCTCCTACAACAAACAGCTCTGTGTGGGAATCTCCATGGGTGGTGGCAAGAAAAGTGATGGTTAAAAATGACACACAGTGGTGGGTTCCCAATGTCTGACTTCAGGCACTCACTGCAGCCTGCTAGTCTGCCTACATACCCTTTGATGTTTATAGGGAAAGGTAAACTCCAGAGCATGACTCACAACATCTAAATAAAGCTGCTGCTTTTACATCATCCTCTGAAGGATCCTCTTCCAATACTAAATGGTTAATTGTGAAACAAATCTGTTAAAGGTCACGACAATTCAGAAGTATTCTGTATTTAAAGCTATCATGTGACTCTTCTAAAACACACTGACTAAATAATCATGTGATTTCTGTAGCTGAAATTCTAGAAACATGGAAAAACATGGTTTATTCCACCTATTAACTTATAAAATATTACTTTAAATGGATGCAAATTGTCTCATTAGGCAGTATAAACCCAGAAAAGTCACTGTTTACTTCCACAGCATTATTATGGAGAAACTGGGCAGTATTCTTGTCAAATATGTTACTCTCTAATCACAGCTATTAAGCCTTTGCTATGCTGTTTTCAATTAGAAAGGGAGGCATCTCATTTGGCTTAAAACATTTATGCTAAAATACAAACCTTGAGTAGCAGGTCAGGAAACGCTCCCAGTTTTGCCAGAGGGCTAGTGACAAACTTGACTGTAGCTACTGGTGCCAAGGCAAAGAACATTTTGATTTTCTTAGCCAGCTGTGGCAAAGTTGAAAAAGCAATGAAAGCTGTAAATAACAAGAGAATAATTAACAAACCTCACTGGTGCAAGTTAGAAGGGAATTTTAAGTGGCAATGATTCTATAAAATCTAAGAGCAAGTGCACAAAAGTACTTTAATGGTTCGATTGTTTTATTTAGGATGAGTTTAGATACTGCAAATTAATCTAGTTACTACACAGTACAGATTAAATGAGGCAAATAAGAACGATTGTTTTCTTCTGAAAAACAAATTCATGCTAACTCACCTAACATTCTTCTAGCTCTTTCTCTTTGCAGGTCTAAAAGCACCTGAACGAGGTCTCACGTACAGCAAAATATTCTGTAAATGGGATTCTTTATTCTACACATCTGATGACTCATTTTATTACCCATAGTTCATCAATTTATTTTAATAGAAACTGTAGCTACCTGTGACTTCAATTTATCTTTTCAGCTTCCCACTTTAAGAAAACACAGAAAGAGTAAGTCTTTCATTTTAATGTTGACAACTATTCCAGGAAGCAGCTAAAAACCAGAAGCAGTAGATTTCAAATGTCCTATTTTTCCACCATTAAACCACATATGTGGAACTTGATATAACTTCAAACACAGTATATTCTAATAAATGCATCTCTCACATACCCATTGTGGTGCCCTGTGAATGACCAACGTAAAACACTTGTTCCTGGCCAGTTTTCTTCAAAATAAAGTCCACTGAGGCTGGAATGTCATACTTAGCCATTTCATCAAAGCTACAAAGCAAAGATAAAAAGTCAGCTGTGTAAGTACAGTTATCAGTATGCAACAGCTGCACAAAGCTTCACTGAACTGCAAATCAGTTGCCTGGACATAAAGAAAAGCTTCCTTTGGATGAAGCAGAACTGTGTCTACACACCAAGCATGGGTAAAAGCAAATTCTACTTACCAGGCTGTCTCTGGATACTATACTGACCATGAAACCCCCCTTTACTGCCCCTGCATATGTAACAGCATATGTGATCAGAAAAAAAATATCTTGCACATTCACAGTGTGACTGAACTAAGATGATGGGCAAAGAGAGGAAAAGAAGCCTGCTCACAAACAGCATATGTAGTAATCTAGCAAGACAAGGATACCTGAAAACCCAGAATTCTTCTTGCTTCACTGTGAAGTGTGTATGCTTTCTGGACCAGGTGTTCCCTCTGCTGTTTCCGAGCCATACATCATAGCCAGCATCTGCCAGCATAAACCCAAGGCTGTTGTAATCCAAGTTTGTGATCCAATTGCTGGCATCTGCAAGCAAACCATGCTGCAGAAACACGGCAGGCCTTGGACCTGAAAAATAATGCATTTACCATAGCTTCCTGTTTACCTGTAATTGAATGCCTAGGAATAATTTAAGTGAGCTATTGAAAGCCTACTTAGATTTGGACTTTGAATATTTAATCTACTTGACTTAATCTACTAACTATTTGTATATTATTCATAGCGCCATGAATCATGTGCTTTCACAAAAAGCTACATTTTATCATTAGGAATTTTAAACTAGCAACTTGTTAGTTTTCAAACTAGAGCAAAAGAGTCCTTGAAGTTCAAAACAGACAGCAGATATGCAGCAAGCAAACATGAGAAAAGTGGGAACTACAGGAAAAATATGGGTACCCTTTACAACTGTTTCAAGACCACAAATACTCAGTGGCCCAAACAGACACCACTAAATTACTTATGACTCTTGCCTTGCCCTTAAACCTGGAGAAGGCATTCCCATATATGTACTACTGAGATCTTTGTTTTCCAGTCAAGACAATGCGAAACTAGATGCTGAGCTGTGGAAATCTCTGCAGCTGGTACCAATACTACGTCTATGTAACTCACTTCCACTACCAAAGCTCTGGCAGAACCTGAAAAGCAGTACAGTAGCCAACAGAGGAATCAATATTTCAAAGGACTTTCTCCCCTTGACTTAAATAGTTAAAAAACCCCACAATCGACACCCAGGTAGAAAACCTGACTTCCCCATCATGAAAAGGGAAATGACATCCTTATGTGGAATACATATTAAAAAAAAAAAATAACAAAAAGATCTACACAAATAAAATAAACTAACATATAATCCCTTAGAAAGCTTCTTACCTTCAGAAAATACAAAGACCTTTTTGGGTCTTGTAGTAGCACAGGTATTTTGAGCCTTTTTTCTGCTTAAATAACTGAAATCTGATATCACGGTAACTTTAGTTCAATGCCAGAGATTACTCAGGAATTACCTCCTCCAATGACACACTATTCTATTACAATACTAAATCATGCAGTACTTCCTCCATTGATAATTTAGGCTTGGACCTTTTAGCAGAAGCAGCCAAATCACAACCATTCAGTCACCTATACTCTCCATTCTGGGTCATGTCCATAAGTGTTTGCTGCGAGTTATAAAATCTAAATAAGCAATATTCCTCCCTCCTAGCAACCTCTATAACTGTGATCACAAACGTATTCAGTGTCTGCTTTTTCCATTTTCTTAAAAAAACATGTGGCACACTGTCCCTGCAACCAGAGCAAATCTCCATCAGTGCCAAAGTGGCACTGGAGACAGTAGAGTTCAACACAACTGTTTGCTGCAGTAATACTTCATTGCCTTATGAACAGTGTGCAAGATTTTTGAAGCCTAATATTAAATTTGTTTTCAGTAATGTTCCCTTTTAGCTGTGATACCTTCTTCCCTTTTATTAAACTCAGATCAATGAACTTCTCACTTTTTGAAGAACTGGCTTTCCTCAGGCTGCTATTTGCATGTTTCATAATGTAGGAAGGGGAAAACTGCTTAACTGCTTTAATGCTCCAATTCTGTTCTCTATTAGCCTTCAGTTTCTGCCAGTTCTTCTTTCACTTCACCAAGCAGTCACCAGATCTGCACATGAATTACACAATCATATAACAAACTGACTTGCACAATAATAATTTTGTGTATCACCTTTAATCCTAAAACTCCCAGGGGGGAAATGAGAAAGGTAGGTCCTTAAACTACCCTTTCCATGGTAGAACATTTTGTTCTCTTCACTGCACCCCCAAGAAGTTGAAGACAGATTTATCTCCATGCCCTCCTTACACATGTTATGCATGAAAAACTAAAGCAAAACATCATGTGATACATAATTCCAAGGGATCCCATTCACATTATGCAGGTATTGCAAAAGAAGAATTATGGCATACATACGCCGAGTCAGCAGTAACACACCATTGGTATCTTTCTGAGAAAAGATACCAAGTCTATAAAAACTTAAGATCAACATGAACTTTGAAATCTTCATTCTTCTAGGAGATCATACTTCCCTAAATGTGCTCAATAATCCTTGTTTTCAAAATCAAAGCACTTTGCAAAACATGAACTTGGGGTCGAGGGTGTGGCAAGGGGAATGTGGAGAATTCCCACAGGTCAGGAAAACTTCTGTTTGCTTATGTCACTGAAGGATTTGACAAGATCAACAGGTAAAAAGGCAGCCTGTTTTTTTCCTCAGGGCTTCCCTGCAATTCTTAAGTACAAAGACACCTGCCAGGTTTGAGCAGTCTCATCTATGCACTGATCTTCATAAACCCACCTTGTGAGAAACAGGGCACAGTGCAAACATCCTAACTCATACAAAACCAACAGATAAGGTCAGGGAGACCACTGCTTGGCCACTGGCAGATGAGAGCAGTTTTCCATAAGTCTTGTTCACATATAAGGCTACAGGACAATTGATTTCTTTTGAGCTCCATGTTTTTACCTCTTATCCTACCTTTTTTCAGTTGAAAGGGTCCTGAGGCAGTCCTCAGAATATGCAGTTTCTATACAAACAGGCTACTGCTGTTGTACGCATGCAGTTGTCAAAAGGATCATTTATAAGGGGTGATGACAAGATTTGATACCAAATTCAGCCAAAGGCTGATACCAAAGGCTATATGTTTCTTCTCTTCTACCTTAGCCTCACTTTGAAAGCATTCCATCATTCGGCCCTCACAAAACGCTTTGCATTTCTTAAGTTTTGGCTTACATTCCCCCTATCCTTTTTATCCCTTACCTCCTCACTTCTACACCCCATGCATTCCTTCCATGCACCTTCCAGCTTTCACAGTAAATCGCACAGCTTTTAACAGTGCTCTGGCAGCACATGCCAAAGCTCCTCCCAGTCTCCCATCAAATCACATCCATGAAACAATTTGGTCTCAGCCAGCTCTTGTCAACTACCTGTTACTTATCTCAGTCTGCAATACATTTTCACATGTATTGTACTCAAGATGCGCTGAAAGGATTTTATCTTATCCCTGCTCATTGCGGGGGGGTTGGACTAGATGACATTTGCAGGTCCCTTCCAACCCAAAATATTATGATTCTATGATTCTGATATTGTTTAAATAAGCTTAAGCAGATATGTAAAATATGACACTCCGGTAGCACATACTATTGGTCTGGATGTACTTATTGCAAAGGCAGCTTCAGAGAGGTTAAAATTAATGAATGAATTCTTATGCAGAAATCAGACAGTAATTATTTTGTGAACATTCCAGTGGGAACTCCTGCAGTTCAGTTATGTTTCACCAAAAGCTGCACTGCCCCTACTTCTGAAAATGGTCAAGCATTTTTAACAAACTTATTTCTTATAAAGAAGCATTTTTTAAAATGGGGTTTGAAATAACACAACAATTTTACAATCAATCTCTTTCCAAGATACTTCATGCCTTCAAAAATACAATAAATCTCAACCTTTACTTTCCACTTCCTAGAAAATCCAGGCTGCTAAACCCTCACAAAAACAAAAGATAAATATAAAACAACAATAAAGGGCTTGCATTAATGTCACATAAAGGAAATGCCACGGTAATACAACCTTCTAACTCCTTCTCCCTTCCTTTACTCAAGTCACTCTACATATGCCTACTCTTACTTTGGCCGTAAGATTCACCAGTAAAACATGCTAACTGTATATGTCATATGGTCTTTAAACCTTTTCTGAATTATTGCAGGAGAAAAGTTTTATAAATCAAAGAGAGCTTTTTTATGACTTTCCACTTTCCCAAGCAGAAATAAATCTTACCTTTACTCCTTTCGTAGTCTTTTCTTCCATAAGGAATTCTGTTAATGGAAAGGATATACCCATCTTCTGTTGTCACTTCGTACTCCTCACTAGGATATCCTCTGAAAGTAATAATTTGACTCTGAAGAAAAAAAAGAAACCACTTGGGAGTCAAATAAGAAAGAAAAGAAACCACTTTGGAGTCAAAGTCCTCCTCAGTTCATTAACATGTACAAAGTACTCTGGGTTCCTTCTGAAGATGGGATGTGAAATTAGTCTGTGGTAGGAATCTGCCCACCTATTCAATGCAGACATGTTTTCTTATGGACGGTGACAGTATGCAGTCAGGAACTAGCCAGAGCACAGACTTTATCCAGGGAATTTAGGGAGACTCCCTAACCTGTCCCTGTCTACTGTCAGGTTAGTTACTCGCTGCTTACACTGAGAAAGGCTATTGAAGTGTTGGAAAGGAGATGATAAGAGGACAGAACACCACAAAGCAGACTTGGCAGACAAAAATTAAAACTGTCTGCTCTCAAGGAATGCAGAAACTTCCAGTAACAAACAGGTGAGGAGAACAGAAAGCCACTGGCACCACACTGGCATATGGAAGAGAAGGAGGGAAGAGTACTCTCTCCTGAAAGGCAAGGCTTCTTCAAAACCATTTTGGATTTACATCTGAACTTTATATTGAATTTTCTGTTATACACAGGACACAATCATGTTTAGGCAATGTGCTGAAATGAGCCAGAGCTTTTTTTAAAACAGCAGCTTTAAAATATTGAGGTCACGCTCTTCACATGTGCCAGCTGCTGACATTGTCACCTCAGCTTGTAGTTTCATGTGCCATTTCTAACTTACCTTTCTCCTCAAACCTTATTCCTGTTACAGAGATTTTACTTTGCTGACAAGCCAAACGAGACAATAATACAAAAATAAAAAAGCACACTTCTTTAACACTATGATTTCATGAATAGGTTTATCTCCTATCTCTTATGTCTTTATGTTATTTTCCTTTGATGCAATTCCATTAGGACAAAGACTACTTGCTACTTAATAGGCTTTATGACACCAACTGTGCCTTATGAAAACTTAAGGAATGCTAGACATTTCTGTAGCTTTACTCTTAGGCTGCTGGGCAAGGAAAGAAGGAGCATTTAAATAAACATGCTAATCCTTTTAAATATATCTTTAATCACCCACAACATCAACATTCCAAAATTATTTTAAGGCTATATTTCATTCAAATGCTACTAGCCTTAGACTAAATGATTATTTTCAGTCCTCAAAATGATAACTTAGATGATGCTGACAACTCAAGCACTTCTTTCCTTACAGACCTCAAGCATTTACAGCCTGAAGTACCTTCTTGCACATGTGAAAATACGACACAGTTTAGATGGGGCAGAGGAAAGAGCAACTAATACCAATTACAAACAGCAAACTTTGTCTGGAGTTAGCTGTTGCAGCGAAAGAAGAATAAAGTTAGGAGAGTAAATGCTAAATGGGAATGAAGGCAGTTGTGGGTAAGAACACAAGAGCATTGTGCTAGTAGCTCAAGTATGCTTCGTAAGCATGCACTTCTGTAGCAGTAAGAGTGTCCTGACAGGTCTGGATCAGAAAATATGTGACAGAAAGATCTGTACAGGCAGCAACGGACCACGAAGGACCTGGAAGGAGAAGCGAAAGACGACATCTAGCCGAGGGCCGAAGCAGCAGCCAGCTGACCGCTGGCCTGTGGCTGCAGTCCCCGGGGTCTCACTGCGGCTGTGACGGGGGGAGGGACCGGGTGTGCGGCTCCGAAGCCGCGGAAGGTCCGCAGACCGCCCGGACGCTCCTCTGCTCCCGGCCGCTCGCCTCGCCCTGTTACACCCACGTCCGCAGCCAGCGAACAGCGCTGGGCACGCGTCGGGCACGCTTCCCTCACGGCCGCGCCACTCACGATGTTCATGTTCGTTTCGGGGTCCACATTCCTCCTCCCTCTGGCGAAGGCGCCCGAGCCGGCGATGCTCTGCAACAGAACAGCGGCGACCACTAGTCCCCGCATCCTGGCTCTGCGGAAAAGCGAGAGGCCCCGGCTCGCCGTAACAGTGAAACACAACTCGAAGTTGAGGCAGCAGCGAGCGGGCCCCGCAGAGCCTTATGTGCAGTCTCCGCCGGGCTCAGTGGCCGGCACGGGACCGCGTCACAGGGGCGGGGGTTACTGCCCGGCTGACAGGGCGAGAACAGGGCCGGCCGCGATCAGGTCAGCGGCGGGGCGGCAGCCGCCAGCCAGCGACTGAACAGGCGCGGCCGGGCTGGGCGCCCGGGTGTGTCCTGCGCCGCTTCGCGCCTCCCCTCTTCGGGTGACCGCGGCCCGGCAGAGACGTACTGCTGCGCCGGGACCTGCCTGCGCCCCCCCGGCCCCGCCGCTCCTAGCGCGGTTAGCCGGAGGAAGGGCGCTAGGCCGGCGACGCAGCTCAGGCCATACAGCGCGGCCTATCGGCGGCGTCAGGGGAGGGCCCTCCCTGCAGCGCCCCGCGGGGCGGAAACCCGGCCGTGGGCAGCTGCTGCCGCTCCGTGCTGGCGGGCCAAGGGTACGCGGCCTTGAGCTGCCCGAGCCGGTGCGTTTCAGCGTTCCTCAAGTAATCCCTGTGTGGGCACCCCCTGCGCCGCGGGTTCCATTGTCAGAAGTTTGTCAGCCCTGAGAACGGCTCCCGTGATTTTTGCTTCCCAGTCCTCTTCTTCGTGTGCGTGTGCTCCCCATCCGAAGCTCCGGAATCCTCACGGTGCCGCCCTGTCTCGATCGAGCCGCAAAGCCTGCGGCGGCCTCCACGGAGAAAACAGCGGCAGGAAGGAAGAGGTTTAGCCTCGTCTCCCACGGCCTCTCTCCGCAGCGATGGCATCCCCAGGGACGCCTTTAGTGACGAAGAGAGCCGGTCCTTTGTCAGGACTATAAAGCGTTGTCAGCAATCACTGTTGTCGTTCCACAAATAGATTATCTATCTATATCTATCTATCTATCTATCTATCTATCTATCTATCTATCTATCTGTCATCTATCATCTTTGAGCACAGTCAAAATATGTCAAATCTAATACAGATGGGTTTAAATTACATGCAAGCACACGGTTCCAGCAGTATTATCATCACAGCTGCTTGCAAACCTGCTTTACCTTCATGCACTGGGGCAACTAATTGGCATGGCATTGCATACTGTAATCTCCCTGAGAAGCGTGTCTGTGGTCAGGGCATGTGTGACCAGGCTTGCAAAAACTTGGACCAAATTCAATCCTATAACATACATATTCATGTTACTAGGTGCGGGTCCCGAGTAATATTCTCAGAACAATACAGAAACCTGAAACAAAATACACAGTGGTAAAGCAGGAACGTGTCAAGAACAGAAATGTTTCTGTTTGTTTAGAAAGCATTAAGATTTTAAATGAAGCTTTCATAACGTCCCCTTGTTTTGATATATGGATACATGAGTTGGTACAAGTGACATGACACTATGCAACTGTTTGCATTCCTGGATTCTGTTTCTTCAGGACATATGGTTTTAAAGAACTTGGGTAGCAAAAATATTGCTCAGTGGTTCACTTGGGTTTTCTGTCAAATTAATTACAGGGTACCCTTCCCCTGTAGGCAAAACCCAAGTTATAAACCGCCACAACTGCTGCTGTCCAACACAGTAATCACATGCTAAACCGAAACCAGCATAAAATAGGGTATTTGAGGTGAACCTGTCGTTTATTATGGTATAGTTCATTTACATTACTTTAATAATGAAAACTGAATTTCAGGCAATTGTTTTGCTGGGCTACTAATACCAGGGGAAAATTCTTTGTTCAGCAAGGATCTATTTCAGCTCCAAGGAAATTTACAGGTACAACTTTTCTCCCTAAAATGTGTAGGTATTTTCGAAGCCATTTGCTGTTCTTGCATATGTACAGAACACTCAAGTAAACAAAGTCTTTGTATCAAATATGAATGCAGTTGTTGTTTCCAGCCCGTTTCTGGTCAAATGTTTTCCAAGTTCTTACATTTGCTGCTACACCACACAGCTCTCCCAGGACAACAATCGGACCAGCTGTCACTTTCCTCCAGGTGAAAGTAGCAAGGCTGTAGAAGTATTTCTGATTTTTCCTGTGCTGTGCCAAGCATGTCACAAAGATGGCTGTAGAAAGGCATTGCATAATAAAGGCATTGCATTCTCTTTCACTTATTCTATTTTAAGCAATTTCCTGCACTTATTCAATAAGTATTGTGTCAAACCAAAGTGTATTGATGCAACTAAACCTGTAAAAATGTGGGTACAAGGGCAAATGTTTACATTCCAGAGGAAAATTACTGCATTTTCCCATATGTACCATGCTCAGTACCAGGATAAACAGACACCTGGGGTGGAAACAGAGACAAAAAGCCCATAGATATTTACTACCACAGTAAATCATTAGTGTCCACATTTGATTCTGGCCTTGCATAAACATTTTAAATACATTTTTCTACAGCTACCTGCAGCCTTTATTTTCCACAAAGTACATGAATCTGTGTAGATACCCTAGTCCTTTTTCCTTCCCAATTCACTGCCTCTTTTCACCACTTATCAAATACCTAATTGCTAGGACTCTGCATGCTACTCAGAGTAGTAGATGTACTAACCTTTAGCTCTGAAACATCAGGTTCAACACACACACACACAGGGCCACTTAAACACAAGAGGGATGTAGTTACTAAGGCTCTCCAAATTCTTGTAGAAACCAGGAGTTCTCATAGATAAGATTGTTTTGTTTTGTTTTTGAAAGAAAGGGAATGAATGGGAAAGGAGGGAAAGAAGGAAAAGAAGGGAAAGGCGAAAGACAGCCTTGTCCTGAAGAGTCACTATCTGCCAGGAATTCAGTCTGTGTGGGCTGAAAGTCCTCACACTGAATCCTTCTCCAGGTCAAGGCCTCCCCAGAGGCTTGTGGGCTGCCCCGGCTTCCTTGGACAGGCTGAGGGTATCTGGAGCCAGCCAAACAGAGCCATGACGTTATCAAACCCAGAGGATAAGCATGGCTTACCATCAGACCTAGGGGTTCACTCCGACCTACCTGAGTGGTTCGTACACACTTGTGAGGGTGAGGGTACAAGCACTTCATACCATAGAAGACAAATTTATAGGCCAAAATCTAAAATTCTTGAAAACATACAAATTGGCAGTTAGTGATTATATACATTTATAAATAAAAACATGGAATACTGTTACTTCTTGTTTGTAATTGCAAAGATTTACCATGATGGCAGCAGCAGCAGTTCTGAGGTGATTATGAGGTTTGATATAAATGACCTTCTGGCTTGTTATGACAGAGGGGGAACCTTGTGCATACTCACCCGGAAACCTCATAAAATGAGGGGAGCTGACATTGTCATATAACAGGAACAAGGAGAAGCCTTGTGAGGCTCCCTTACATGCATTTTTATTTGCTTATTCCTACAAAGGGGGGGGGGGAGGGCTCAAATTCTACAGGTATTAATTATATAAGGACATTAGAAAGTATTTAATTAAATATATTTCTTAATAAGATTCTCTCACTTTTTAAATTGAATGTGTTCAAGAATGGAGAGTGGTTCTGTAGTATTAGTTGAAAGATCGTGTTTATGGGTGAAGAAGAAGCAAATCTTATATAGATGGGTAAAACAAGGTTTTTTGTTAGTATAAGGAAAATCTTCATCTAATGAAAGAATTATCATTAGTCTATAACTAATTGTTAAAGAAGGAAAGTAATAATGCAGTTGGAGGACATATACAGAAAATGTCACAATAGTAGTAATACTGTGGTTAAAACTGTTATGCACACATGCACACATGTAGACTTCTTTAGTTTCTATTCCTTCCCCTTCCATTTGCTCCTCTGGGCATTCAGATCAGCAGCTTCAGAATGCTGAGGGAGCAACACCAACAGTCATCAACCACTGGCATCCTTTCTTGGGAGGAGCATGATGCCAAGGTGGTGGTTTCTTCTTCCTCTCCGCAGCATCACCTTTGGGTCATTTTCTGGGGCGGTCATATGTTTGCTAACGTGCTTTTACACCTTTCTTCTTCTTCAGTAGTCTGCAGCTTCAGATTCCATCCAAATTTACTATACATAGTGCTGTTTACATACGTTAGATATTATTTCTTTGATCTCTTTGTTACCCCTAAAATCAACTTTAGCAAGCCATTTCTGCATATATATATATTTTTAAGCTAAGTGTTCAGTGAGTTGTTTATATCCATAGGTGCTCCAGTACCCATGTACATGTTAACATGTAGCCCTATAACTACCACTGCTGTTGCTAGCAACTGGCCATAAGCTTTGCACTGAGTTTGCATGGCCTCAGGACCAAGGCTTGCCAGGCCTGCTCTGTATGAACTTGTCCTGACCTTATTGCAGCTTTGTTTTGCTTGGCGCAATTGTGATAGCACTTTCTTGAATTGATTGTATCTAATTTGTTTTACTTTTATCTTTGCACAGTACAACTGCAGTTTGCATAGAGAGCAGCAACAAATAGTTGCTCTAGGTGGGATGAGATATTTAGTACTCTCACACAGTGACATAACACAGAGAAATACAGGCCTGGTACAACAGCAGATACCTTGCAATGTGGAAACAGAGGATGGAGTGCAGGCAGGGGCAGTAAGACATTGTGTGACTGTTATGTGGATAACACAATACCAATAAAAAGAAAGCCTAGATCATGATGCAGAACTGTGCAAAACTGCATCAGCAGAGGCAGGAGGGAGAAACGACCCTTCCCTAGCCTAGGCATGATAACCAGGTCTGCCTATACTAGCCTGAAACATTCTCCTTATCATAGATGCCTCTGCATTTGAACAAAGTAAAAGCTGGAAGCTATTAGGAGCTGTTACCACATTCTCCACAACACAGAGTAATGCATGGCATGGAGCCAGGCTAAAAAAAGCAGCTTAGTGAGAAGTTTCTATTCCCCACCAAGTGGCTCTTCTGCTTCTGCAGATTCGGCTAGAAGCTGAAGTTTCGCTTTCTCATGGATCACGTGGGGCTGGAGCATATAAAAGGAAAGGCACAACAACAGCATGTAGCACTCCCTTGGCTTTGCAGCTGCCTTAAGACAAGTGAGCAGAGAAGGATAACCATGAGGTAAGCCACCAACCCAGTCTCTGAAAGATGCTTTTATGCTATGCTATGGGAAAATAAAGCTTATTATTTACATAAATGTAAGTAGTGAGGGACTTTTTTTGGGATCCAAGCAGCAGAAAGTATTTTACAGAGTATTTACTGGAAGATCCAAAATAAAATAAGGATGCTACTTGAGTATTGTTATTGCTTCTCTGACAAGGAACAGTGTCTATGAGCAGAATTTGCAGTTTGAAAATCTGTATGCATGCAGTTCAGGGATGAAATCCAGGCTACAG